AATATTGGTAGTTTAAAAACAAATTCATTAAGTAATAGTACAACAAGCATAGGTAGTGATATTAATTTTATAAATGATCCAAAATTAAAGGGCACAATAAATAGTAATAATAACAACAATAATAATAACAATAACAATAATAAACAACAACCATTAAATAAAGATTTAATCGATAGTATATTAAATGATGATGATAACGATGATGATATTGAAGTTAATGATATAATTATAAATAATAGTGTGGTAAATAATTTTAATTCGGATACAGAATCAGATTCAGAAGAGGTAGACCCAGAAATTTTAAAGAAAATATTGAATGAACAAGATGATGATATTATAATTGATGAGAGTATGACAGTCGATGACATTCTAAAAGAGGTTACTACAGAAGAGGATAAAGAGGAGAGTGAATTATTGAATGAATTTATAAAATCACCTATTCTAACTCAAATTCAACAAGAATTGGATATAATGGAATCACAACAACCAATGCTATGGAGATCTAGAAATAATAGAAAAGTTGTTAATGGTATTGTAGTGGAACCACAATCTTATACGAAAATCTCTGAACAATTGTCCTCTGCAGATATTAGAAAAGTAGTTGGTTATCCAACATGTTTTGCAGTGTCAAAGTTTATTTGTATTGGTACATCACATGGATACTTATTGATTTTCAATTTCAATCAAGAGTTGATATCGATTATTGGTGGTTCAATTTGCTCCGATTGTGGTCCAGTGACAGCAATAGATTCACCATCATGTAGAGTTAATGAAGATTGGTTAATTAGTGGTCATCAATCTGGCCATATCATTCTATGGGATATTGTCGGTGGTAAACCTATAAAAGTAATCGATAGAATTCATAAGTTACCATTAGTTCACTTAAAATTCTTTGCTGATGGTGCTAGATTCGTATCATCCGATTCTAATGGTATAACCAATATCATATCAATCACTAAAGGATTCATGTCAATTGGTACTGATCAACAATTACTATTGAATGGTAATTTAGGACCAGTGTTATCGGTGGCATTGTTATTACCAGGTAATCATGATCATCCAACTGATAGACAAAGTATTGTCGCAATTGCAACCAGTAGAAAGATTTTAATAATTTCTACATCAGCTGATGGTGTATCAATTTTAAATAATAAAATCACTAGACCAAAGAATTGTTCGACTGGAGCAGCAAATGATGGCGGTAATGGTAGTGGCGTTTTACCATATTTATCATGGCGTAGAGTAATATATAATCGATCACTTGGACATACTAAACCATTGGAGCCAATACTTGCAATTGGTTGGGGTACATCTATTCAACTACTTCAAATTGTAACTGCACCAAATGATTTTAAATTTCAAGCACCAGAGTTTATTGTTGTAGCAAATTATCAAACAGATCATCCAATTTGTGGTTTAGAATGGTTGGATAGTCAAACTATCCTTTTTCAAAATTCAAAAGACGAACTTAGAGTTTTCGATCCATTCGCATTAGAAGAGGTTGAAAGTGTTAATATTAAATCGATGCAATTGATTCATCATTCTAAATTTCAAGGTATTTCCGTTTACTCATTTCATAGTAGTATAAAGACATTGAAATCTAGAATCTATTTCTTGGGTTTAAATGGTTTATTCACTGCACATATTTTAACATGGATAGAGAGATTATCGATTCTAACTACCAATGGTCAATGGTTTGAAGCTTTATGTTTAGCATTAGATTTCTATGAGGGTAAAGCTAAAGCGTGTACCGGTCTATCGAGTAATACAGTAGATTCAAAGTATATAACTTCAGAGAAAATCGTTGAGATCATTTCAACTCTTTGCCAAAGTATTTTTAATGTATCTCAACCAGAGTTACTTGCTGGTAAATCATTGATACCAAAGAGTTACTATGCTCAGATGGATCCACGTATAGAGTATTTGAATATCTATCAACAATTAGCATTGATATCAATCGAATTTTGTATTGCAATCAAAAGAACTGATCTACTTTTTGGTGAGGTTTTCAATTATTTCTTTGATAATGATATGAAAAGTTGTATATTGGATTTCTTAGAACCTTACATTCTCAATGATAGACTAACTCATTTAAATCCTGAAGTGATGCAATATATGATGGCTTATTATCAAGATTTGGGTATTTTGGTTAGAGCAGAACAATGTGTACTCCATTTGGATATCTCTTCCATAGATTTCCATCAAACTGTAGTACTTTGTAGAAAACATGGTCTTTATAGTGCTTTAATTTATCTCTACAATAAGGGTTTAGATGACTATATCACTCCAATGGAAGATATGATGGAAGTGGTAATTAAACCAAAGAATCTAAATAATCAACCAACTGAAATGGACCAAAGTTCAAAAGATGTCGCACAGAGACTACTTCTCTATCTTCAACTAAGTCTATCAGGTAAAGCTTTTCCAAGTGGTCTCATACCAACCTCACGTGTACTATCATTGAAATCTGAAATCTATGAATACCTCTTCCTTTGGAATATTGATCCTGATGATCCAACACCATATCCAAGAATTTATAATTTATTGAAAATGGATACAACAGAATTATTAAAAATTTTATCATTAGGTTTTTATGATAAAGGTTTTCAATCATCACCACAAAATCAAAATAATAATTCTGAAAATGGTAATGGTAATGGTGAAAATTATTTAGATGAAACTATGCCTCAACTAAATGTTCCAAATTTACCATTAAATTTCCCAGTTTCAAGAGCAAATTTAACAACATTCAATATGATCTCAGTGTTATTGCTAATTGTAATTGATAAGAGTCAACATCCATATGAATTGAAGCCAAATGATAAATGGCCATTTTCATTCCAACAACAAGGCCAATTACTTTGTATATTGGGTAAAGTATTTATTGATGGATTATTCCGTGTTGACAATAGTCTATTGAATAGAATCATTGGTATGTTATCAGTTACACCCGTTGAGAATACACCATTGTTTGACTTAAAGACTAGACAAAGTGTACTATTGGAGATTCTAAAGATCATATTGAATAAGAACAATTCTACCAATAATGTCATCGGTAGTTTAGGTGCCGATATAAACTATGATAAACTATTGGTAAGTTGTGAAGGTAATGAGTTCTTTAAGGTCTGCCAATATATCTATAGTAAAAAGAATAATTTCAATAGAATGATCACCTGTCAAATCAAAGATCCAGATAATAAACAATATTCATTCGATTATATTCGTGAAATTTTGGCAAAACCTTCACTTACTTCTGAGCAACGTGAAACTGTAAAAAATACTTCAATCTCAAATTTGGCTCAACTCATTCTAATCGATAGTGTTAAAACTGCTCAATTGATTATGGATTGTTTCTCGAGTGATCATGAAAAGGTACTAAGAGAGTTAAGTTCTTTCCCAAAGTTACAATTTACTTACTTACAAGGTTTATTTAAAAAAGGAAGTGGTGGCGGTGGCAGTGGTAGTGATCAATCAATCATTCAACAATATGGTCTACACATTTCTCAAGAAACTCATGAACTCTATTTAAAATTGATGTGTAACTTTTCCCCAGAAACAGTAATCCGTTATTTGTCATCTAATGATGATTATCCATTGGATAGTTGCTTAAAGATTTGTCAACAATTCAATAATATCGAGGGTTCAATCTATCTATTAGAGAGAATTGGTGATGTTTTCAAAGCATTGGATATGTTGTTGATAATATTGAAAGAGAAATTAGATGACCTACTAAAACATTATGTTCAAGTATTTGCAAATGTCAAACAATTAAAAGACTCTTCAAATATTGAACCACCAAGTAAACAAGAGAAACAGGTTATGAATGATCTCTACTCAGCCATCTCACTATGTCAACGTAACTCACCAAAACTACAAGATTCTGAAAATGAACCATTATGGTTTAAACTATTTGATACAATCGTTACATGCGTTCAAAAAATCAAACACCAATCTAATCAAGGACAATTTAGTAAACAATCTGCTATCTACTCTAAATCATTGGGTTTCCTTTCAAAGTTGGTTCATTCAATTTTAAATTCTATGATGGGTTATGTTGCATTACCCGTAATTCTCTCTAGAATCGTCAATGAATATGGTGGTAATGAATTGGGTGATTTCAAATCTATCATCACTGATATGATGGATACTTGTACTTTTGAAACTATTATCCTAAAGACTGCAAACGATTTAATTCAAGCGGATATGTTCTTTGCTACTCAAACCTATGTTGAAAAATTATCACGTGCTTACACTCCAAACATCTCCAAATGTGGTATGTGTTATCGTCCACTAAGTGAAGCTCCAATTGCAAAACAACAACCAAATCATACAATGGCACTAGATACATTAATAGTGTTTTTATGTAATCATACTTTTCATTCTGAATGTCTTGGAAAACATAAAGTTTGTCCATTATGTTCAAAAGAAAAAGAAAGAAAGAAATTACCTTCAACAATTAACAATACTAAACAAACAGTATACCATCAACAACAACAACTACAAAAAGAAAAAGAAGAAGAAGAACTATTAGATGCCGTTAAATTTGATGTAACAAAATATGAAAAAGAAAGAACTCAAAAAGAAACTGCCAAGTATATGGAAAGATTAGATAACTATGCAAAATTAAATAAACGTATTGGTTATGGTAATTATGGCGCATTTAAATCATTTGAAAGTCTTGATCGTGAACAAAAAAGTCAAAAACCAAAAGGTAGAGTACAACAACATATGCAACAACATCAACAACAACAACAACAACAACAAAAACAACAAAGACAAAGAAGATAATAAAAAAAAAATAATAATAATAAAAAAGAACTTTTAAATTTAATTATAGATTAATAAATACTAAGTAATATTACATTCAAAAAAATCCATAATAATCCAATAAGTTTTCTTTTCTAATTTATTAACTAATAATAACATATTGGTTAAAATAATAGATTAATTTACTACCAATATAACTATTTTTTTTTCATTAAAATTTATTGGGGAGTGGTTGTGGAAGTGCGCAAACGCAACATCCACATCTACCATAAATTTGTCATTTGAATCTTCTTTGTTGAAGATCATACAAAAACCAAACCTTGGTGTGCTATGGTCTGAAATCTTTGCAATCAAATATGCCTTTTTGATCACATATTGATAATGACAGGTAAGTATGAGTTTAAAAATTAAAATATGAACGTTTTTTGTAATAGTTTTACCTTAACAATGTTTTATGGTTTAACTTAATTAAAGTAATTTCATCAATTAAAAAGAAAATTCAAAAGAGGAAAAAAAATAATTAAGGTAAAACTTTTTTTTTTTTTTTTTTTTTTTTTTAAATTTTGATTGAAAAAATAAGTTTTATATTTTATTTTTAAAATTTTTAATTAATATAATTATTTTTATTGTAATTATTTAATTTACTATTTCTAATTGAATAAGCAAAATAAACGATTGTACCAACAACTGTCCAAATAGCCATACGAATAAAACTAGCGGAATCTAAATGCATAATGAAATAGGTATTGATGATAATACCAAGACATGGAAGTACTGGAACTAATGGACAAAGGAAATAGTTACAAGTGCTTCTATCTAGTGTTTGTTTTTTGAAGCAAAGTAAAATTATGAGAGCTAATTGTAAAGCGGCCAAAACAATTTGAATCCAAATTTTCCAACCATTGTAACTTGCAGCACCAAAAACACAAGCAATGACAAACAATACAAAAAGTACTAAAGTCGATGGAATACGACCATCTTCAGTTCCATCTTCATTTCTAAATCTCATTACAATAACACCAGCACAAACACAAGTGAATGCGAGTAGAGTACCAATACTAATCATATTAGTTAAATTATCTAAATCTAAAATGATTGCGAGAAGGGAAGCGAAACCACAAGTGAAAAGGATACCAAAGACTGGAACTTGTTTAGAGTTTAATTGACCGAATTTTTCAAAGAATAAACCGTCTTTTGCCATTTGAAGATAAATACGTGGTTGACCAATTAAACAACATAGTGTTGATGCAGTTAAAGAAGTGAGTGTACCAAAAGCAATGATCATGGCAGCCCATTTCATATCCAAACCATTATTAATGAAGGCGTCTGACAATGGTGATCCTTGACTTACAAGTTTGAAATTTACCATACCAGATAGGACCAAGGTTACACCTATGTAAAGAGAGGTAGCAATAACTAATGAACCAATGACACCAATTGGAAGATCACGTTTTGGATTTTTTACTTCACCAGCTAGTGTTGTAACCGAATCAAAACCAACATAACTAAAGAATACTACAGAACAAGCATTGAAAACACCATCGAAACCAAATGGAAGGAATGGAGTCCAATTTTCAACTTTAACATAGAATGATCCCAATACAATGAAAAAGAGGATAGTTGATATGTTAATACATGTAATGATCATGTTAAATCTAGCGGAATCTTTAATACCAAACACCAAAATGATCGTACAAAATACAATAATAAGTGGTGCTATTGGATTGATATTAATCCAATCGTTAATTTGATAACCCTGGATGAATTGTGGTGTTTTCACACCGAAAATTGAGAAAATTACACCAAAGTAACCAACCCAACCTCTAGCGACAGCTGAGGCTGAAATAGCGTACTCTAATGTAAGATTCCACCCAACGAACCAACCCATATACTCGCCCAAGGAAACGTATGCGAATGTATAGGCACTGCCAGATGCTGGAATACGAGCCGAGAATTCAGAGTAACAGAATGCCGAAATTAAACATGCAATTGCAGAGAATAAAAACGATAACAAAGTACCCGGACCTGCATAGGAACTAATTGCAATACCAATGGATACGAAAACACCTGCTCCCACTGTACTACCGATACCATAGGAAATAATATCAAATACTGTTAGACATTTATTCAATAAATCACCGGTGTTTGTGGAATCTGATTCTTGAAATCCATTGACTGGGTATTTTCTAATCAATGAATTTAAACTATAGATTTTTCTATTTTTAAGTAAAGGTATATCTTCTTGATCACTCGATCGATTCAAGTAACTGGCCATTCTTTAATTGGGTTTTGGTTAATAATTTCTGAGAATTGAATTTTGATTTTTCTTTTTCAAAAAATAAATATATATTTAAATTTTATATATATTTATTTTAATAATAATAATAATGAATTTTATTTTTTATTGATAACTATTTTTTTTTTTTCAATTTATACAAAAAAATGTTCGACCGAAAAAAAAAAATGAAAATAATAATAAAAATAAAATTTTTTTTTTTTAGCTTCCGAGCTTTGTGATCAATTTAAATAAAAAAAAAAAATTGGTTTAAAATCAATTCCTATACAATTGGCGTGGCTAAGTCGTTAAAAAAAGATATTTTGTATCTTCAAAAAATAATAGTTTTTTTTGATAATTTTTTCAGAAATTTTTTTTGCAGAACTTATCGCCTGGCTATAATTATTTTTTTTATAATATTTTTATTTAATTTTAGATATTTTTACAATTGCACACATCATCAAGATTTTTTTTTATTTTGCTTGAATAAAATTTTAATTTTTTTAAAAAAAAAAAAAAAAGTTATTAAACAATTCCTTCCCTTTAAAATTTTAAAAAATGATATCTTTCTAAAAAAGAATCTTATGACGTATAATAATTTTTTTTTTTGATTTATATTTTATTTTAAATTAATTTTATTTTTATCATGATTTTAAAAAATATGCAAAGAATTTATTAATATCTCTATGATGTCATGTGAATAGTTTTTTTTTTTTTTTTTTTTTTTAAATATTTATTTTTGTTAAGATTTTTTTAATTATTAAAAAAAATGACAAAATTCAATTTTGGTTTCTTTTTTTCAACTTGATAGTTTAAAATAAAAAATAAGGAGTTTGGTTAAAAAAAAAGATTGTATCCATTTGATATATTTATTTTTATTATTTGATCAATTAAAATAATAATTAAACTAAATTAAAACCTATGTTTTATTCTCATTTATTTATTTTCACTGATTCTGTTTCTGTTGCTGTTGTTATTGAAAAATGAAAAGGACATTTTTTTTTTATTTTTTATTATTTTGAATAATTAATAATCCAATTTTTTTACACTAAAACTATAATAAAATAAAATAGATTAATGTATTTTTAAATTTGTTTATTATCATATTCAAATAAAGTTTTAATTGTAATAGTTTTTTTATGAATTAATCTTTTTAAGTAAACAATATTGAATAAACCAGATAAACCAATTAAAACTAAAAATGAATGTAAACCCCTATTAATTTTTATGAATCTTTTCTTTTTGTTTGTAATTATATAATAATTTGATAATTCAGTTTTGACAAATAACAATGACATTGCATCAGTTGGTAATTTGGTTGAAGTTTTAAAATCTTCAATAATTGTTAACTCTGTTATTGGTTTAAATTGGCCACTAAAAAAACCACCACCACTATTATTATCTTCAATAATTAAATCTAATTCTGATTGATCTGACCATGATTTTAGTGGTCTTGGTTGTAAAACTATTTCAATACCATTGTTTTTATCCTCTTGTTTTGGTTTGTTTAAAATCGCTACCTTTGGTGATGTCTTTTTAATTTTTTCAATAAATTGATTAACACTTACTGATTTTTCTCTGTACATTCTTTTTATTAAATAATTATCTCTAATACCATCAAATATTAAATTATAATATGAAATGAATAAAATCATTAAATTTATAAAAAATGGCTTAATAAAAAAAAAAATGTATTAATATTATTATTTGTTGTTTTATAAAATAATTAAAATTATAAGATTTTTACAAATAAATTATATTTAAAACCAAAATAATATAATGAAATATAAGAACCAATATATAACAATTGAAAAACTGATAATAAAATTGAATTCATTGGTATCTTTGTATATTTATACCAAATGTTTCTACCCCATAGTTCTAATCCAGATTCAATAACATCATTAGGATTATCATCTTCAAAGTTATCATCATTCTCTTGTTCTACCAATGAATAATTGTGACCTTCATCAATATTTGAGCTGTTGAAATCTTTAATTAATAGTATGATTATTGATATTAACATTGAAAATGAGAATACAATCGATGCAATTATAAAATACCAATTGTATGTTATTCCCCAATCTATTGTTGTATTAACATTATCACTACCATCATTGTCATTAAAATTACCTTTAAAATAACTAAATGATTCTTTCAAATTACAAAATGTTGTATTTCCTTTATTGTTTATATTATTATATATAAATTGATTCTTTAAGTCGCTACATATTGTTTCTCTTAAACTATTCATTGAAAAAAAAAAGAATTAGAAAAAAAAAAAAGAAAAAACTTTTCTTTTTAATAAAACCCACTTTAAAGGAAATATACAAACTGAAACAATTAAAAATGATGGTACAGTAATTAACATCATTATACCAAATACAGTAAATGCTTTTTTTACAAAATCTGCTTTTAATACAGATGCTAAAATGTACATATATCCTAATAATGGTAAAAAGCATAACTATTATTATTATTATTATTATTATTATTATTATTATTATTATTATTATTATTATTATTATTATTATTATTATTATTATTATTATTATTATTATTATTATTATTATTATTATTATTATTATTATTATTATTATTATTATTATTATTATTATTATTATTATTATTATTATTATTATTATTATTATTTTATTTTTATTAATAAATGTTTATAAGAAAAAAAATTAAATGTTATATTGGTTGATAATTACAATATTTATTGGAATAATTTGAAATAATATAAAAGTTGAGTTAAAGTCATTTAATTGCGAATTTTTATTGAAATTTGTATATTTACTAATAGTATATGACACACAAGTTGTATTATTATTAGGATTTGTTTCATTATAACCATTATCCACACAACTATTTATTTTATATACACTTCCAGAAGCAAACCAAAATGCTACTGATAATAACCAAAATGGGATTATAAATATTGCTTTAGTATAAAGCCTTCTCTTAATTGCATCTGATCTCATTACTACTATATTTAAAACTGTACAATAAATAGATAATAAGTAGCGATAAAAAAAAATGTAAATAAAAAAAAAATAAAAAAAAAAATAAAAAAAAAAAAAAGATTACAATAATATGGAGAAACTTAAAAAAAAAAATAAAAAAAGATTTTTGTAGAAAATCAAAAAACTTAAAAAAAAAAATAAAAAAAATAGAAAATAATTAAAATTTCAAATTCTTAAAAATCAAAGAAAATATTAATTGAAAAAAAAAAAATACTATTTTTTGTTTATTTTCTTATATTTTATATTTCTTTTTTTTTTTTTTTGTAAACCCATTTAACCAATTTGAGTTTCGAGCTTAATTATTTCAGAATGTTTTTTAAAATTTCTTCCTTCCAAATTTGTTTTTTATTTTAAAATTTAAATTTCTACGAATGGTCATCTTTATTTATTTTTATCAAAAGTTTTAAAAAAAAAAAAAAAAAAAAAAAAAAAAAAAAAAAATTTTTTAAATAAAAAACAACTAATTCCATGGATCAAATCGTTTTTCTATGGAATAAATGGAAAGGCATCCATAACCAAAATAAAAAAAATATGTGTGAAATCAACTGAAAACTCACAACTCATTGAATATTTTTGTTTAATTTTTATTTTTTTTTTATTTTTTTTTTTTTTTAAAATTTTTTTTTTATTTTTTTTAATATTTTTTAATTTTCTTTTTTTCACATTTAAAAAAGAATCTTTTAATTTTAAAATTTTTTTTTTTTTTATTCTAAATGAATTTTTTAATAAAACAAATTGTGCAAAAAAATAAACAACCTTTTTTAAAAAACATTTTAAATAATAACAATAACAAACAAATATTAAAAAACTTTTATACAACAACTAAAACCAAAATGACTAATAAAGCAAAGATTGAAGTATTTCCAGAATTAGATTCAGCAACTGGCCAAATGATTATTGTCGATGAGCAAACTAAGAAATGTGCAATCTTAGATTCAGTATTAAACTATACACAAAACAATGGTAGAACCTCAACAAAGGATGCAGATAAATTAATTACCTATATTAAAGAGAATCAATTAGAGCCAGAATGGATCTTAGAAACACATATTCATGCCGATCATTTATCGGGTGCACATTATCTTAAAGGTATCTACCCAAATGCAAAGACTGCCATTGGTGAAGGTGCAAAAATCGTTCAAAAAACATTTAAAACCATATATAATTTAGAACACTCTTTTCCAACCGATGGAAGTCAATTCGATAAATTATTTATAGATGGTGAACAATTCAATATTGGTAGTCTACAAGTTAGAGTTATATCTACACCAGGTCATACACCAGCATGTGTTAGTTACTACATTGAAAACGATTCAGTATTCGTAGGTGACACTATGTTTATGCCAGATGTAGGTACTGCACGTTGTGATTTTCCAAATGGTTCAGCTGAAACTCTCTGGACCTCTATGAAAAAGATTTTGGAATTACCAGAAACCGTTAAAGTTTACGTTTGTCACGATTATCCACCAGAGGGTCGTAATATTAACTTTTTCACAACCATTGGAGAACAAAGACTACGTAACAAGCACATTAAAGACTCTGTAACCAAAGATGAATTTATTAAAATGAGAACCGAAAGAGATGCAACCCTTAAAGCACCACAATTACTCCTTCCATCAATTCAAGTTAATATTCGTGCTGGTGAATTACCACCAAAAGAAGATAATGGTGTTGCTTATATAAAAATCCCATTAAATTATTTAAAACAATAATAATATTAAATAATAAATAATAATAATAATAATAATACTAAAAAATAAACTACATATATTTATAATTTGTAAAAATATTTTATTTCTATTATTTATTTATTATTTCTTTTAAAAATAAACATTCTTGCCATTGTTGATGCTTCATAATTTATAAATGTATTTAATTCAATATTTTCCATCTATAAAAATATTATTTCATTGTTAGATTAGTTTCTATGTATTTTTAAAATATTAATTACAACAAGATGACTTACAGTGAAATTATATTTTTCAGAAACAGATTTTAAAATTGGAAAATGATTTTTGCGATCTAAAAATGATAAATAAAATGTGCCTTTACCAACACCACTTTTATTTGTATTTAATATGGAATCTACAGTGAAGAATAATGGTTCAATTGATGCATCTACATAAATTAAATCTGAACCGATTACAATATCAAAATTATATTTATTTGAATATTTTTCTTTAAAACTATCCAATGTTGGTTGATTATTTCCCCAATATAATCTTTCAATTGAAATTCTATCATTATTATTATTGCTATTATTATTATTATTAATTTTGTTATTAAAAAGATTTGAATTCGATTGAACGTTATCTCTTAATAATGGTAGTGATTTTTCATCACCATCTGTAAATAATGTGAAATTGGTGTATTTAGATGATACCAAACCACATAATCCAACACCTGATCCTAATTCAACAACATCTTTTCCAATGAATTCTTCTTTATACTTTGAAATATATAATGATAATACCCTACTGGCTGGCCATGGTAATAATCCTGTTGATGGTTGAATATTTACATTTTGTAATCTTGTAAAAAAAAAAAAAAAAAAAGGGTTAGTATGCCATGGTGCGGTTTTATTATTAATTTTTTTTTTTTATAATTTTTTTCATTTACTCTTGTCCTTCAATTTCAATTTTAATGTCATCATAAAATTCATATTTATAAGTTTCTAATTCTTCGACAATTAAAGATCCACCTAACCCTATCTCTTCTTCAGAGTCACTATTTGTTTCATTTTTATTTATTTTGTCCATTTGGAAAAAAAAAAAAGTATAAAAAAAAAAAAAAAAATTAAAAAAAAATATGAAAAAAAAAATTAAAAAAAAATATAAAACGATAATGTTGAAATTATACATTTTCAATAATTTAAATTAAAATTAAGATTTTTTTATAAAATATTTAATTTTTATTTTTATTTTAACATATCAAATTGTAAACCAACAAGAGAGTCACATTTTTAAAGTTACATCAGATAATTTTTTTTATACAAAATATAATATTTGTTTTTGTTTATTTTCTTTAAAATTTTTTTAAATATTGGAAATAGTTTTTAATGTTGGTTGGGTGACTGATTGAACTTTCTCTTCTAAAACATCTGTCAATTTGATTGTTAGTATTGAGAATTTCAATCTGTTGTGCATTTTTACATCTTTTCTATTTAAAGATGATATCACTGTGGTTTTTCTTTTATCATTGAAGAGTGGAATTTTCATTTTATGTAGGATTTCTTTGTCATCGTAATCTCTAAACCTCTTGACAAACTTTGGATCCTTTTCATGTAGCGAAAGATCACCTCCGGTGATAAAGTCTAAACCGAGTACCATATCATGAGTCATCTGTACCGCGTAGAAGGTTGTTCTTACTGTGGCGGTGCCTCTCTGGGTGTTTAGTCCGATTGTGCTGATGACTTTTTCTCTTGAGAAATGGTCCGCGTGCTCAACTGGTGTCTTGACCTTCACGTTGCAGCTCGACTTCTCCATTTCCTTCGTTATTAACCTTGGATGGATTAGGTTGGAATTACAACCGGTGTCCACCAATGCATGTATCCATTGCTTGTTGATACATACGTACATTGCAAAATCTGAAGGCTTTTGCGTGTCTGTGTCGACATTTAAATTATTTAGCTTTATCTGGGCAATCTCTCGAGGAATGTCCTTCTTTTTGGCAGGTGTAGCATTTGAACTTTGGGGGTTGCCTTTCATGACTCTGGAATGCTCCTGGTTTACTAATTTCCACCTCTCTTTGTATCTTGACTAACCTTCTTAGTTGTTCATACCAGTACTCAATTTCTCTTTTATTGTGTTCCGTGGCGAGCTTTGACTCGCTGATTAGTCTGACTAATCTTTCTCCGATTTCTGGAGATAGACCCTTGCTGAAAAGGTGAAATTTAGTTTGAAGTGGTTCATTCTCCCACGTGTTTTTTGCTTTCTTGAAGGTTTCTATATACTGTTCGTATCCTTCATCGTTATCCTTTAGTTGTTTTCGTGCCTGGCTTAGCCTTTGATTGTTTTTTGATCTTTTATAAATATTTATAATTATTAATCGGTTATTTTACTGTTATTATTATTAATTCTTATTATTATTATTTGAAGATCCAAAATGGATATTTTAATGTTGATAGAGATTTAGTCTCTTGTACTTTTCTGCTTTTCCTATAAGCAAACTGATTTCTGCCTTTAAAGTTCCGACTTTTTCGGTGCTTTCGTTCCTCTCTTTCTCCGCCTGCTCTATTCTTGATGCCAAGTTATCGGCGCCGAAGAATTATTAAAGGAATACAAGAATTTGGAAGTAAAGCATGGAAGATTAATGACCGCCTACCAAAGACAAATAGGATTTGATTCCTATTTGTCTTTGGTAGGCGGTCATTAATCTTCCATGCTTTACTTCCAAATTCTTGTATTCCTTTAATAATTCTTCGTAGCTAAAAGTTAATTTTTCTAGTTTAGTTTTGAGGTCATCAGGTTGTTGTACGGCTGTCTCTTCTTTCTTGATTATTAATTCTTCCATTTTTGTAAAGTCTTTTCTCTTATAACTAAATCCAACTTCGTCGACCCGGGTTTTCGATTAATTGAATATAAAATAAAAAAAAGTTTAATGTTGATAGAGATTTAGACAATAAATAAATTCATTATAAGTTGTGAAAAAAAAAAAAAAAAAACAGGGCTTGAAATTGCCTCCTTTTCAGAAGGGGAGCTGTAATGCAATATTACGGGATCCGAAGATCCACCCCATAATCAACCTTAGTGATGGTATTTCACTATCGACAGAGATTGTCTCCCATCTATTCTACACCTAAGTTTAATTTAATTGCAGTAAGAAGCCCTTAATTGTTTATTTATCTTTTAAATTTTTATTATTTTTTAAAAAATTTATTAAATTATTTATGGGAAACTAAAAAAAAGGAATCCAACAAAACATCAAAGGAAAATATCAAGAAAAAAATCTTCCTTTTAATTTTTTAAATAAAATAGAATGAAAAGAGTGTTGAAAAACAATTTTGTTATTATTATTGTAACAACATAAATTTATATAATTAAAGTTAACTTGTTTTCATTTTTTTTTTTTTTTATTTTTATTTTTTTTTTTTTTTTTTTTTATTTTTTATTTTTTATTGCTAATGTTAATGCATAAAATTAATAAAAAATAATATGAACTTTAAATAATGTATGGGATTTGAGTTCAAAAGCGTTTTTCTCGCGCCATATATTTTATTTAAATTTATTTATTTATTATTTAATTAAAAAATAAATGTAAAACTACACATCATTTATTATTATTATTATTATTATTATTATTATTATTTATGAAATACAAATCACATTGAATAGCACTACCTTTTATTGTGTGAGAGATAATTGTTTTATTTTTTTTTGTTTTGTTTTATTTTGTTTTGTTTAATTTTTTTTTTTTTTTTTTTTTCGCCACCAAAAATAAAAATAGTTTGTGTGCAGTATTTTTTATATTTATTTTATTTTTATTTTTTTTTATTTTTTTATTTTTTTTTTTCAAAAAAAAATGTTTTTTTCATTTTTTTTTTTTTTTTTTTTTAATTTTTTTATTTTCAAAACAACCACAACACAAAAAATTTCATAAACATTTTAATTTAAAAATAAATTAATAAATTTATATTAAAATTTAAATAATTATAAAAAAAATAAAAATTAATTAAAAAATAAAAACCAATTAAATAATAAATAATAAATAATAAAAAATAAAAAAAACGATGTCAACAAAATTATTTGTAGGACAAATTCCCAAATCATTTAACGAGGAAGAGATTAAAAACTTGTTTGCCAATATAGCCAACATTGAATCTGTATCATTGATAAAGAATAAAACAACCAATGAGCCACAAGGTTGTGCATTCGTATCAGTACCATCACGCGAAGAAGCTGACAGAGCCATTGAACAATTACATAACAGTAAGAAATTTCAAGGTGTTTTAAATAACTTACAAGTGAAATATGCTGACAGTGAACAAGAGAAGTTAGCAAGTAAATTATTTGTCGGTATGTTGCCACGTTCCTACGAGGAGGAACAGATTAGAGAACTTTTTGAACCACATGGTACCGTTGAGGATATCTGTATATTACGTGGACCAAATTCAGAGAGTAAAGGATGTGGTTTCATAAAATTCGATAACAGAGAGTCTGCTTTATCGGCTATTTCAACTTTAAATGGCATGAAATTGGATGGCTCTCCAAATCCATTGGTCGTTAAATTTGCCGACACTGAAAAAGATAAAAAAAAGAAACAAAAACTACAACAAATGCAAATACATGGAACAAGACAACAACAGCAACAACAGCAACAACAACCTAATCAACAATCTCAACACTTTCAATCTCAATATCAACAACCTGTCGTTAATCAATTCCCTCCAAAAATGAATCAACAACCTTTTATCGTCAATCCATATTTTGGTCAAATGCCAAACTTTAATTTTATTCCAAGTAGTATGCTATTAATTAATTTATCATATATATATATATATATTACCTATTTATAAATATATTAATGTATTTTTCATTATTATTACTATTTTTAGTTGACTCTTCACCATCATTATTAGGTACACCACCAATAATTGGTGATGGTATCTATGATATATACTCAAATTCACAATTTGATAATAAATATAATAATGGTAATGGCGGAATGGGTGGCATGGGTAGTAATGGTGGTAATAATGGCAATGGAATGTATGGTAGAAACTTTAACAATAGCAACAATGGTGGTCCAATGGGTGGCATGAATGGTAATGGAATGAACAATGGTCCAATGGGCAATGGAATGAATAATGGTCCAATGGGTAATGGAATGAATAATGGAATGGGTGGTCCAATGGGTAACGGAATGAATAATGGAATGGGTGGTTCAATGGGTAACGGAATGAACAATGGAATGGGTGGCCCAATGGGTAACGGAATGAATAATGGTATGGGTGGTATGAACCAAGGTGGTCCAATGGGAAATAAAAAGAATCAAAGTGTTGGTCCACAAGGTTCAAACCTATTCGTTTACAATATTCCAAATTACTTCTCTGATAATGATTTACTTGGACTCTTTCAACAATATGGTAACGTTGTTAGCTCAAAAGTTTATGTCGATAAAAATACTGGTGTTAGTAAAGGTTTTGGTATGTTTGTTTTTCTTTTTTTTCTTTTTTTCTTAATAACTTTTACTAATTTATTTTTTACTATTGTAGGTTTCGTATCATATGATAATCCAGCTTCTGCTAATTTAGCCATATCAAGTTTAAATGGTACAATGATGGCAGGTAAAAAACTAAAGGTTTCACTTAAGCAAACCTCTGGTCAAGGTTCCCAACCATATTAAAACAAAAGAAAAAAAAATAATAGGGAGGGAGAGGAGTAAGGAGGAATGTTAATGTGATAAAAGGATAAGTGGAGTTTAGGGAAAGGTAGAGAGAGTGAGGGAGAGAGAGAGAACAATTTTTTAAAGAATAGAGACACAGGGGTTTTTTTGTTTGTACATTTTATTTTATTTTATAAAAAATGGGTTTCCATTGCCGTGTTTGTTTTCAATTCAATAAATAATTAGTAATAACAATAAAAATATAATAATAATAATAATAATAATAATAATAATAATAATAATAATAATAATAATAATAATAATAATAATAATAATAATAATAATAATAATAATAATAATAATAATAATAATAATAATAATAATAATAATAATAATAATAATAATAATAATAATAATAATAATAATAGTAATAAATAATTAAAAATAATAGTAATAATAGTCAATAATCACCAATAGTTCAAATAGTTGTATACACACCGAGCGATAACAAAAATTCATCAACGAAACACAATCACACACCCCCACTGCCAACACATCGATAACAATAACATTTAATCAATCAATCAATTATTTGGTTTTTGGTTTTTGGTTTTTGGTTTTTTTTTTTATTTATTTATTTATTATTTTATCTATTTATTATTATTTATAATGTCCCAAGAAGAAAAAAAAAAAGGTGTGGTGTGTGCGTGTATTTTAGATTGTTTTGATGTTAGTGGTAGTTAGTATTTATAGTTTTTTTCATAAAAATGGTGGTTTTTTTTATATATGTCTTCACTTCTTTGGCTGTTTTTGTTTAAAGAATTTAATTTTAATTTTAAAAATAATAATCATTTCGTAAACTTTTTTTTTTTAAAAAAAAAAAAAACAAAAAAAAAAAAATTTGTATAATAACCTATACATGTGTACTTCTTTTTTTTTTCTTTTATTAATTTTATTCATTCTTAATATTATTCTTTTTTTATTATTCTTATTTATTTATTTTACATAATGTTTCCCATTGGTTTGATTTTTTTTTTTTTCTTTTGAACTTTGATTGTTAGTTAATATAGTTACTATTTTTGTATATTTTTACATATAATTATTAATGTTTGGTGGTTTAATAAATGCTTATAATAATTATTGTTTAAGAAAACAATGATTAACTTTGATTATTAATTGTCTCTTGGTATTTTTTTGTTTTGTTTTAATATTATCATTTGTTTTTAACAGCCTTTTAATTGTTTTTTTATCAAATGAATTATTTATTTATAACACTTTTATGGTAGGTAATTTTAATTCCATTTTAATATAGCATACTAACAAAAAAAAGAGTCTAAAAATTTTAATTTTTTAAAAATAAAATAAATAAAAAATAAAATATAAAACTAAATAAATGATCATTTTAACTTTACTTCACTATTTATTATTTATTACTGATGAAATTTTTTTGGATTGGGGGATTTTTGTTTACCGAGATTCCCAACTCTTCACCTTCTTCCTCTTTTTGTTTTTTGGTGTAAACTTCATTGCTTTTAGTACGATTGACATCTCTATAAATCATTGAGTTTGCAGATACTTTATTCAGTAAATGATTTGGGGGTTTGGCGCTATTTTGTAAAATTGGTTGGTTAAAGAATCTTGGAGGTTTGGTTGACGATGGTTTGGAATTTAAAGAACTATAATTATTATTATTATTATTATTATTATTATCATTATTATTATTTTTATTATTATTATTATTATTATTTTTATTATTATTATTATTATTATTATTATTATTATTATTATTATTATTATTATTATTATTATTATTATTATTATTATTATTATTATTATTATTATTATTATTATTATTATTATTATTATTATTATTATTATTATTATTATTATTATTATTATTATTATTATTATTATTATTAGTATTATTATTATTATTATTGTTATTATTATTATTACTATTATTATTTTTATTAAATGTATTAGCGTTTACATTATAATTGTTTTGTATTTGTTGAACTTTTTTATATCTTAAATCAATTATTTTGGCTTGAATTTCATTAAATTCTTTAA